AGAAGATCTTAACTCTCAACTTCAAGAACAAACAACAATTCTATCTGAAAAATGGCAAACAAGATCAAATGCAAAGTGGATTGAAGAAGGAGAAAAATCAACTAAATACTTCTTTAATCTTTATAAATCCAGATACTTATCCTCCTGCAGTACATTAATCAGAGACTCTAATAATCCCAACCAGGCTGAACAGGATTTTGTTATAAACTACATCAAAGAGTCTTATCAAAACCTCTACAAGACTGAAGATATAGATTATAATGCAGCTGAGGAAATAACCCAGAATATGCTACAAGTATCAACAGAACAAAACTCAACTCTAGTAAAAAACATGCTAGAAGAAGAAATAGGTCACGTAATTGATAACCTACCAAAGAACAAATTACCTAGTTCTGATGGACTCACTTATGAATTCTACAAAGACAACAAGAATACAGTTTTATCTATCCTAAGAGATCTTTTTAACAATATCCTGAATACAGGCCAAATACCTTACTCTTGGAACAAAAGCCTTATCACATTAATACCTAAGAAAAACTTGGAATTACAAGATATCAATAACTAGAGACCAATCTCTCTAGTTAATTGTGATGCAAAAAACTTTATGAAAATACTAGCAAATCGCTTAAACCCAATATGCAATACAATTATCGATCCAGTGCAAAAAGGTTTCATAGCAAGCAGATTGATTTCAGATGTAGCTTTGGATATCATAACAGTGCTAAGAAACCAATATGACCAATCCAAACAATATTGGCTACTATTCCTAGATCAGCAAAAAGCTTTCGACCAAATCAACCACTCCTTTATAGAGATAATACTTAGAAAAATGAACTTCGATGCAAAGTTTATCAATATTGTAAGCTCTCTATTTGCAGCACAAAAAGCCTATATAATAGATTCCAACAGAATCTCAGAACCCTTTAGAGTAGAAAAAGAAGTTCGCCAAGGGACCCCCTATCACCTCTCCTCTACATTCTAGCGATAAATCCTCTCCTCCTCTCAATTACTAGAAACCTAAGAGGAATCTTAGTAAACAACATACTATTCCAAGTAACAGCTTATGCTGATGATATTACTATAGGAATTGGCTCAGTATTAGACTGGTCCAGGCTAAGCTCAATTCTACAAACATTTGAGCTAGCATCAAATGCAAGGATTAACAAAATCAAATCACTACTAATCCTGATTACAGAAAATGCACACGTAGTTAACCTACAAAACAGTGAAACGTTCAAGATTCTGAACAAAAATTCAGGCAACACTTTCACTATTCTGAGATACAAAATAGATACCAAAGGAAATCCTGACAAAAACTTGTAGCAAGACCTTACAAACAAGATTAAGAAAAAAATAGAAAACTTATCACTCAGAAATCTCTCTTTCAAGAGAAGAATCCTAGTAGCCAAAACACTACTAATTTCAAAGATTTGGTACCTAGCATACCTCCTACCTCCGACCAAAAAACAACTTAATGAGATTAATATACTAATAGTGAAATGGATCAAGAACAAGTCCAGAACACTACCATAATACTCAACATTTCAACTAAGCTATGACCAAGGAGGCCTCTCAGCTCTGACACTTAAAAACATGCTTGATGCCAGACTTATCTCAATATGGAACAAGCTTCTCTCTGACAACACATTCTGGGCCAAAACAGAAAGATTAGATATATCACAACAGATATACAACAAGAGAGGAATATCAATACATATAGCCCTAAGTCAAAACCCAACAAAACTAAAAGGGTGGCCAGACAGATGGAAACCTTACGTTACAGCTTGGAAAAGGCTAAAAGGCCAAATCTTTGCAAATGATTCTTGGTCATAGGCACTAGACCAAATTAAAATACAGGACTTCTCGGAGAATAACTATTCAGTCAAAAAAGCAACTGAACTACTAAGCAATACAGCTCAGCAAACAAGAACACAGGAACAAGACATCTCTGGTAATTTGTATAACTGGATGAAAACAAAAGAAGTACTGAACAAAAAAAAAGATATCTTCTGGCGACTACAATACAGAGCTCTCCCTCTAGGATACCGCTTAGGCAATCTTAACCAGGAAGATATCACTAATTGCCCAAACTGCATAACCACAATACAATCACTAGAGCATTTTGCTCTCAAATGTAATATAAGCAAAATTATTTGAAAAACCTTCTATGAGATTCTAACACTCTCACTAGAAGACTCCCTACCCAATTCTCTAAAGGATATTTTTATGGCAACAAATATTAAAAACATACAAAAACGAAAGGTTGTACTATGGCTACACATCAACATTATCTACGAAATTTGGTGTTGGTATACTCAGGCTAGATAGGGTAACTCAACTATTCCAGAAAATGTTATTGCAAACATAATAAAAATAAAACGGAGAAACATCATCAAGACCTTTAATAACACTTTACAAAGAAAATCTAAGTCAAAAAAACTTAAATTAGTTTCAAAATTTATTAGCCTTAGTTAGCTTTTTATTTAAACTTTTAATATAATTGTAAAATATTTCAAATAGCATTATATAAATAAAGATGCATAATTGCGTAAAGAAATGTTATCTCTTTAAAAAAAAAAAAAAAAATTTTTATCTTATAATATAAAAATAAGAAATATAATTAAAATCACTCATAGTGATGATCACTATAGGTTACATGTGAGTATATGTTATATATCACAATTGATCAATTTTACTTATCTTTGCTTATTGCTTACAATTATTTTATTATTACTACAGACCTGCTTACTTTACTTACTTAATTCGCTCATAACTACATTTTTTATTTCTTTCATATCTGTATTTTCATTGTTATGAATTCATTTTTGATTTCTTTAGCTGTGCTTTATATTTTCTTTAGGGTCTCAACATACCCTACTTATATTTATTTTCATTACTAATCTAGTTGCTTGTTTTTTACTTAGCTTATAACTGTCATTTGACTTTGTTCGTGTTTGGGTCTTCGTTGTCATAGATTCATTCTCTTAGTTTCTTTTGTGATGTATCATGAATTTTTTCAGTGCCTTGTTACTATGCTTCTTTCGTTACAATATATTTATTTAGTATATATTTCTTGATCTGCTTGCAAAAGAGTTATAAATATAGAGAGTAAGTGTATAAGTTTATTTCTTGCAAGTATTTTTAAGTTTTTCTCTCATTGCAAGTATTTTTAAGCTTTTTTATTGTTACAAGTATTAAGCTTTTTTTTTGTTTTTTGTTTTTTTTTTTAGATATGCTAGATATAGGTTTATTAGAACCTACAAATAGCTCTTTGATAAATGTAGAGTTAGTAACTTCTGAGACAAGTATAACAGCTAATTTACTTACAGAAGCCAAATTAAGTAATGAAGAAAACATTCAAATCACAGCAAGAGCTATGTTCTTGACATAGGATTTAGCTGAAGCATGTTTCAATAACTATGACAAGGCTGCGAGTTTCTCTTTACGTTGAAAAAGAATAATAACTGATAATGAAAGTGAAGTCAGAAGACATATGTTTGAATATATGCACTCAAGATTAGCTGTTAGTAATCAGATTATAGATCTTTCTCAACAACGTAATTGAAATATCTTGCTTATAGCATATATATTTATCAAAACTCAAGATATTAGCTGTTGTAGTTATCACAAGTATAATTGGAGAGCATAATCATTTAATGCAATCAGATACTGCATTATTTACTCCAAAATATAGGAAGTTATCTTCTGAGATCTTGAAAAAAATAAAATTCTATGTAACAAAAGGAGGGATAGGAACTAAGCAAATATTATCTCTTTTAATCTCTAAATTTCCTAACCATATATTTATAAATGTAATCTTTATAATGCTATTTAGAAGTTTCAAAGACTATTAAATCAGCAGCAAGGTGAAGTACAACAATTTATTGAATATTTGATGCAGTTAAAACATCAAGATCCTAATTGGATCATCAATATAATAGTAGATCCATATAATAACTAACTAACAGGGTTGTTTTGGATGTCTCCAATATAACAACAATATCTATTATGTTATATTGATATTGTCCAAACAAATAATATATATCAAACCAACTAGTTTGACATGTATTTTACTCTTTTAGTAGTTGTGAATAATGATACGAAGAGTTGATTAGTAGTCCAAACATTATCAGATAATGAGACTACTGAGTCATATGAATAGTTTATTGAGTATATTTTGAATGTAACAAATAATATACTACTAGTATTTTATTTTCTGATGCTAAACTAGCATTAGGCAATGCTATTACTTTAAAACTCCTCACTACACATCATTTTTTATGCATATATTATATTCAGGAAAATAATCGCAAAAATTTGCAGGGTAAACTTGAAAGTCAATTTGATGAATTCTATAAAGAATTTTTACATATGCGAAATAGTGTATCTGAAAAGGATTTTAATTGAAGATAGTCACGTTTATTGAATAAATATTCTCAAATACAAGACTATTTTAACAGAACATTACAGGGAAGTATAAGGGCATAGGCTTAGTATTATCAGCTAAAATGCTTTACAGCAGATGTTCAAAGTACTCAGTGTGTTGAAATAATAAACAGGTTGATTAAAGAAGGTATAAGAAACATATACTCTTTATATAATCTTTATGAAAGTATACAAAATATTTTGGATAATGAAGTGAAGTGAGTATGGTATAATAATTATTTGAATTCACTTCTTACTAATCAAACTCTATTAGCTATTAAATCAATATTTTCAAACATTCTGAAAATTTTAAAATTGTACTTAATATCTCATTTATTAGCTGTGCAGCAGCAACAAATTGCAGGTTCACTTTTATATAGAGTGCAACTATATTCAAAAAAAGATATTTTAGAGTTACAGGTTTGATAGTTTTGTTTTTTTTGTGTTTAATTAATTAATAATATAAGTTTGAGTTTTTTTTTTTTTTTTTTTTTTATACAAAAGAAAAATTTACAAACAGAGGATTATCTTGATAGGCCCTAAATTTTTTTTTTTTTTATCTCTGATGCTAATATCTAGGGGTGTGTGTAGCACTCTTTTTTTTTTTTTTATTATTAAGGTAGCTTCCTTTGCTGATTAGATTTTATTAATTTGTTATTATGGAGCTACCACATGAGTAGACTCTTAGAGTTTTATAGTTACATGATGAGTGTACAACAAGCTACATATACAACTTTAGTCATTGTCTAATTTAAGTAGTCCACTATACAGACGATTAACTATCTGTTGGTTCTACACATGCTGCCATACCTGCAATCCGTCTGTGAGTTACCTATTTAAACACTCTGATCATTAACCCTTCCTTCTATTCCAAACTAACGTCACTACTATAGCTGACCACTTAAGCCAGCCAGCTTACCTGTGGATCTATTTATCGCATAGCTTAGGTCCTCTCGGGATGTGTATGCCTAATGTATTGTGAGCCGCAGAGCTCTAGTTAACCTCGAAAGCATACCTACTAGAGCGGTCCATGCTCATTTCACAGATTCACCTAGCTAAGACCCTTGTGGATGTTCGTGCGACCTCAGTTCCTACTGTAGCTCTCCACCAGTATCATTTACAGATCTCGCTGAGGTCTATTATGAGTTAGATCCTCCCAATCTAGATAGCCACCAAGCCAAGTTAGTATTACTGTAACATACAGTGATCACCACTGCAATACAGACTTATGTACACCTAACTCAATTAAAGTCTTTGAGCATTGTGTCCTTCTGGATCAAGTGTTAGCTAGTGTAACTGTTAAAAGCTATACTACTTTACCCACTCAGGGTTTCTACCTTGCAGGTCCCCTGCTCATAGATCCTATCAAGATTTATTCATGTAACATTACATCTCTTCAAATATTACCTTACACTTTCAATATTCGGATAATATTGGTGCAATGTGATTTACAGAGTTACAACCTCAGAAACAGACAGAGTTTACCATAAGTTAGGTACAGAGGTCTGGGTAATTATTCAAATTCGTCGACAGTGAGATTTGAACCCCAAACCTCTTGCATGGAGGTCTGGCAACCTAACCACTACACTAAGATCACCAGACCTATTAAAAAATTTTTTATTCAATAAAATATTTATAAAATCATAATAAAATATATATTAAAAGATAGCTTAAAATCTATTTTATATATTATAAAAAAATTATAAAGAAATTATTAAAATTTAAACAATTTTATATATAAAGAAAATAATTTTTAGTTTAAATCATATGGGCTAATCGACGTATTCTGGGCCCTGAATAGAGTCATTAAATTAGTTAAAACAGTGTTCAAACCCTTATTTAATTTTTTTTGATTGGTCTGACGAATTATTAGAGCGATTGTTTTGATTTATTGAGGGTTTATTCTGCACTATTATGCAACAAGGATATAACGAACTTGCATCAAACCTATTAGATTATCTCCATACCCATTAGATTATCGTCCAAACCAATTGTCTGAGCCTACTGAGACATGCTATTTGACATCGATATTATTGTCGCTGTTTGCAAAAATGGTTAACGAATACTCGTGACAGTTACATAAAAGCAGTGCCAAGCATAATGTCAAACAACCTGACGCACTATAAAAAATTTTTAGGGTACGGGGTTCTCTCTTCTGCATAGAGATACATATTAGCCCACATGTGTATCAGAAGTGATGATACTACCCATACATAAAAATATAGTTTGGAAAGACCTATTACGTTTAATGAAAACGGAGGAATGGAATGATAATGAGGCACAAGATCAAATTGATTTGTAAATGGAAGGATATGGGTGCTGAGACAATAAATAATTTTGCCAAATACTTTGAACGTAGGTATGATAAATAGATGATACAGTATACATGAGAAGGGTCGCAAGAGACATGATGGACACTAATAATTTAATTGAAGCATTTCTGAAGTATGTTTATATGTGAGAGGAGCTAGGGAGACGACTTGATTCCGAAACTTATACTCTTGTAGAGATTATACTTTGGGATCTAGATCTTTCGGTTTTTTAGATGAGTTAAAGATTGGTAGGATGAACCCATGCCAGCGACAGCAGCAAATTCGTGAGATTGTCGGAACTACTCGTTTTAATAAAATGACATTATAATATTCAACCAGACGTGCGGATTGTACGTTCTATGACAAATGACAATGTGGAATATTCTGTTCGAAAAAATGAATCTTTAACTAACAATAATAATTTATTAATTCATATGTTTGTACAGTACTTGTCATGACTTCCGAATACAACTACCATGTGTTTGCTGCACTAAACCGAATCTGTTCTGATAATAATATGACCAGCAGCAACAATTTGCTGAGCATATTGTTGAAGAACCTTCTAATAAATTTAATAATTCTTTAAATAAGGAAAATTGTGAAGTGAATAAGAATATTGAATTTGAAAAATTACAAGACGATTACTTCAGAATGGAAAATAAAAGTGAACAAGATATCTATAGCTTGCGATTAACTATCCAGCAAGCAGTGAAGAAATGTAATAATAATAATAATGAGATTTATAGCGATAGTATTCTTATATCGAAAGCTTTTGCAAAATTCAGCAAATCGAATAAAATTCTGGGCCGGATTTAGGGTTAGGGTTAGGTCGTATTAGCAATAATGCTGGTCAACCATACTAAAAGCAAAATTATCATCTGGGCAGCTTTATTTAGTAAGTGGGCTATGAATTTATTTATTAGCAAAATTTTTAGTCAGAATTTAGCAACGCCGACCCATTTCGGCCCGATCTGCTGAATTTTGGTTGATCAAAAACTAAAAAATTACTATAAATCACTAGTGTTTCAAGCCACATGGTTTTAGTCGGCTAGCTGAGCCAACCGACTAAACATTACGGAATTCGGTCGTTCATTTATTTTATTTTCGGAATTTATCGTACAAAATAAAGACCTAGTGGGAAATCACGTTTGGATTATATGATTTACTATGTCCTGTAAGGTCATTTTCAAGGCAAAGACCCCATGTGATCTTTAGCCGTATTAAATTCTTGGACAAAACTACGTTTACCTAAATCTCTTCGGTTTTGTCTCAAGAATCGAAACTACGTCGTTATCGTCGGAACTTCGGTCCGGAGGCCAGCTAGGCATTAACAAAAATATAACAATGCATATAATATTACTACTATATTTTAATTTATTAATTAAAATATAAACTATATATAATATTGCTATTAAATTTATTAATAAAGCAAACTGTATAACATAAAATCTATTAATCTATTTTAAAATTTATAATTAAATCATTATCTGTTATAAAAAAAAATTTGATTCTTTGTTAAATTAATTAAACTGTGTTGTAGATATTAGACTTCAATTTACATCATTCACATATACATACAGTGAATAAAGGTTTACGTAAATAATTATAGGTATTATACTCTAATATGTCTAATATGTCTTAATCAAACAACCTAAATTTTAAAATAAAAAAAAAACCTTCCAAATCTATAAACTAAACCTACAAAATATGTTTAAATTATCATTACTAGACATTCTTTTTTTCGCTCATTATTCAAATTTATCATATCCACGTTCAAAATCTCGCCAACGCCCATCCCGTGTTTGCGACATTAAACAACTCCTCCAAAATACATTAAATATTCTATAATTGTTAATTAAATTCTTATTTATTTATTTATTTATTAAATTTCAAAAGATCTTTGCTCTAGATTTAAAATTCAAGGTTATCCAACTTTGAAACTGTATCCTCACATTAAAAAATAGTAAAATTTGCTTTTCAACTTATGTTTATATTTTCATAACCATTAAATTTATCAGTATAATGGGTGTTGATGATGTCACTGATTACAAAGGATCACGACAACTACAAAGTCTTTATGATTTCTCTGAGCAAGCTGCATCAGCCCACTTGTCTGAAGTAACCTTGGATGAATTTGATAAAGCTAAGAAGATTGACGACGTATTCTTTATTTATCTTTACGATAAAAATACACCATCTAAGAATTTAGTAAGGGTTATCTATTTTCAAAGTACTATAAAGTGCCATAATACTTATATTAATTTAATTATATAACAGGATATTATGAAAAGATTATCTCGTTCTTTCTTTTCGGTTAAATTCTATTCTAGTAAGGATCCCAAACTTTCTGCTTCACTAAAGGTCTACACCCTTCCTGCATTAATAGTCATAAAAGACGATCTTCAAAAAAGTTACATAACCACAAATTCTGTTGAACCTTTCGATGACTTTATATCCTTAAAGAATTGGGTTCAATCTGAAAAATATCCATTGGTTCCAGCGATAGATTCAGAAAATTATGAGGATATATTGGGTGGTGATAGGTTGGTGGTTTTAGGCGTGTTGAGACCAACAGATGTTAGGCCTTTCATTAAAGCCAAGAGTTCATTGAAAGCAGTTGCAAAACTATATCATCAACAAACTAAAGAACGAAATTCTGATGATAGTCGAGGTGTGATATTTGCGTGGTTGGA